TTCTTTCAAAGAAAATCAGGCAGGAAAATGTCTTCACTTCACTGACACATTTCTAGCAACAACCTGACATCCTTAACAAAGCCATTCATCTCTATTCATGTAATGCTACAAGAGCAAACAAAAGAATAGTTGAACTCACCCGTTGCAAGCTTTTCTTTGAATTGTCCCCAATACCATCTTTACTGGGAGAGATTTCAGTTGTAGGAGAAAAGCGTTTATTTGCAGTTCTAGACTTTTTTGCTGGAGCCATGCCTAAAATCCTGGGAAACATACAAGGAACAAAAAAACAGAATTAGGCAAGCACAATGTAAGAGTCTGGTTTATGACAATTGAATGTTTTGTAAAGTGATAGACTACATAAAGAACAAACTTTATTTTAATATGTACATCAAAATAAAGTTTCAGCAACTAAAGGTCCATGAAATAGTTACTTGATTTTGTCAAATTATATACAAACAAATGGACAAAATTATATAGCGAACAAGCATATAGATTCAGAAAGGAGCCAATCAACCATACTGAAATATAACATCAATAACTCTTCAGAAGATGTGTTCATTGTAAGATACAGTACGGTTTTATTATGAAAAACACTATACCACTGCCATGCTGAATTAATCTGGTACAGTTTGGCATTTTTAATTTTGGTTTGTGTGGTACGATAAGTTGGTGGCAACAGTTTGTTCAACACTGACAAGAATGGTTTGGGGGGGGGGGGGGGGGGTTTATTCTTACAAGTTTCTGGAATAGCAATTTCAGTTTTCATCCTTTACAGTTTAAACAAATTAAGTAGGCGTTTGGTCATAGGATTTGGGACCCCAAATTCACATTTTGATTTGAAACCAGCGTTTGTTTGTGAAATCTGCAAAATTTCAATATCAATTTCAAAGAAAAAAATCTCCAAAAAGTAAGATTTCATATTCCTCTATATACATTTTGTAAAAAAAAGACTCATTTTTTTAAATTTTGTAAAAAAAAGAATCATGCTCGACGTGAATAGAGTGTTTGTACCATGTGGAAGGATTATATTAAAAAATAGCTAGGTACTACTGTTGTTGATTTTTGAACCGGTGCCTTAAGAATACAACATACAAATTAACTCTGAAGTTTAATGGTTTTTCAGAAAGACAAAAAAATTAAAGGTAGAGGCAAACAGTACTATAAGTAATTTGCATTTTATATGACTATATGTAATCAACTTAATTCAAGATTTACCTTAAGCAGCAAAGGTTAGAAGGTCAAATGTTGGCGGGAGAGATGGAGAGGTTGTTTTGATTAATTGTTCAACTCGAACGAAGGGAACAACATTTTAAACCTCCATATGCCTGCACACAATTGAAACTTTGGCTCAACTGTAGAAATAGGCACATGGAGGTAAAGGATGCCACCAAAATATGAGAATTATTGTGATCCAGATAGTATCCCCTAGATGTTTGGATGTGTCTTGGAGAGGTTGGAGTAGAATGGCTCACCAATTATTCAATGTTATACTAAGAAGTGATAGGATGTCTGACTAGTGGAGAAACACTATCCTGATTCCAACTTATAAGAACAAAGGAGATATTCAGAATTGTGTGAAATACCGTGGCATTAAACTCATGAATCATACGATGAAACTCCACAAAACAGTGTAAGAGCATTGACTTAAAATACGACAAGAGTAACAGAGAATCAATTCGGATTTATGCCTAATACATCTGTAATGGAAGCTATATTCTTGGTAAGAACATTGATGAAAATTTATCTCTAAAAGAAGAAAGATCTACGCATGGGTGTCATTAGCAAAAACTATGATAGACAACCACGAAAAATCCTTTGGTGGGTGATGGAAAAGAAAAGAATTCATATTAAATCTGAAACCCAACCAAAAGTACATTTACATAAAGGCATTTCAAACTTGATGAAACTTTGATTTATACTACAATCAAAAGCATTCTAACCTTACGTCAGCTGAAACATCTCAAAATTAACAAGTCTAGATATGACGTCAGATACTGAACTCTAATGTCATATCTAGAGTTATTAATTTTGAGATGTTTCAGCTGAAGTAAGGTTAGAATGCTTTTGATCGTAGTATAAATCAAAGTTTCACCAAGTTTGAAATGCCTTTATGTAATCTAAAGCTATTCAAACCTATCATGTGATATTCCTAAGGGTAGGATCACCAACATGGCATACAGATATTGTTATTTGTGATGCACTCATTATAATTAATAAGATAATAAGAGTCGCCCGCTACATTCATGCTTTCTGAAGTGCATACGAAATCCTAATTCAGTATTATCTCGAATGTACTGTATTCGAACTAGAGCACATATTTCATAAACAATCTGTCCAGTAAATCAATCAACTTTATGACCTATAGTCATTTCATCAATGCCTTAAATGAAAACATACCAGATCAAGCTTTAACACCATACATCACAACACAGAAACATGTACTCAGCCCTCTTAAAAAACATTCAACTAAAACGGAGATCCATTAACACCAAATCATCATAATCTCTAAGTATAAACATAAAAAACCTTATATCAGTACTTCAATCACGCCATGCTTCAATCACACCATGGTGAAAAATAGAAAATGGAATATTCTGATAAGTGATGCACCACGTGCATTGTATAATCATGATTGCTAAAACTTTAAGGAAAACATCCAACAATGGTTTTTACCAAGTCAATAAACTACTATTACCTATTTTAACAGTAAAATCAAAGAAAATACTTTCATTTGAGGCTCTGACCTTCTTTTTTCAGAATTGAAGTACGCTGGCCAGTCTACAAACCGCTTCCAAAAACCTTGACATACAGCACACGATTCCAAGCCACTCAAGGGTGTTCCGGGTCAAACCCGTGTTGCCCAATTCTCAGTCAATCAAACAGAACCGACCACAAAGTTCCAATCTTGGCTATACTAACACTGTCTAATTTCAACAGGGAGAGTTATAACTCAAAGATAGCCAGCAACAAGTCCAAATTTGTGTTCATACCTTTTCAGGATTAGGGTTTGAGCTGAATTTCAAAAAAAAACAGCTTAAACAATCAAAATCAACAATGGTGAACATCTACCTATACAGCAAAGCTTCAGCAAAGCGATAATTAACACAAAAGAGTGAAGAAATCACCTTTATAAACGCGAAAGACTCCAAATCCAACCACCAGTCATTTCGACTCACAACTCAACACACTTGCATTCAATCATTAATTTGAATTAACATTGTTGATCTGCTCATCTACTAGCACCAAATCGATGAAATTCGGTTCAATTCGGTTCGATTCGACACGAAAAAAGCAAAAATTTGCAGTGAGAAATGGAGAAGTTAACACTTGAAGCAATTTGAAATTGAAAATTTTGGGTAAAAATGTGAACGAGGGAATTTCAGAAACCTATCTGAATAAAAATTGAATTTGAGAAAAGGGCTTAGATATATAGTGAGATGGAATGACCGTTCGATCAATCTGATCGAACGGCTATAAATGAGTCTATGATATTCTCACTTTGTGGCATTTTTTTGACATCCAAACACACCTTAAGTTCGCGTTTGACTATAGATTTTTTCATTAAATTTTAGGAAAATTTCTTTAAATGTTTTTTTGATCATAAATTTTATGTTAGCTTTTGTATATTTTGTCTAAGATATGTATTTATTGAGTTTCAAAAATTGATCCACGAGAATTTTTTGTTGCAGAGCGTGGGTTATAAGTTTGGTCGAATTTAGTAGTTTTAGTTTTTTTTTTGTATTTGTCTTTTAAAAAATTAGTAAATTTATAAAAATAACTAATTAGAAAAAAATTAAAATCTCGAAGTTATAAATTTCAAATTTTAATTTCGATGATGACAAACTGCAATACGATCAATTAATTTTTAGACACGTATAATCATATATGTGTTAATAAAATCGTTAAATATATACACGAGTTAAATCTAGAACTTCCCTACGAGCCCTTAGTGATTGATGTTGGGTAGTATAGCAACTATAATCTTGTGTTATTAATAAGAAGAGAATTTTTACGTCAATCAGCTATATATCACTACTAATTATAATAGTCGTTTGAATAGGTAATTTCATTTTGTTTGATTTTGTTTATTAGCTTTGTTCCTATAAAGATATATCAATTGGGGTGGAGCCACGTAGCTAGGATCGCGAGTCCTCAGAGTCAAAGAAATCATCTAATTCTTCGATTAAAAATTACACTAATTATACATAATTAATTTTTCTTTTATGTACGTTTAATTCGTTTAACATCTTTATACATTTACTTTTTTATATTCTTCGATATCATGGTGAAAACGTAGAATATATTACCAAAATATTCTTCAATCTTATCATCTTAGATATGTCATATGCAAAAGTAGAAGTAAAAATTAATTGCCAAAATGCAAAAAAAATATTTTAAAAATTTCTTCTTTTTTTTTACTTAAAAGAAATAAAGTCAATGTGACAGTAATTATTATAAGTAAATTGGTTCAAATGCCTAAAATTAAAGAATCTTTATAAAATAGTATAATAATCAACTTGATAATTTTAATTCAACTTGGACCAATTGCCAAATATCAAATTCTATAACTTATTTAACTAAAAATCATTATAGAGTACACAACAAGCTTTTTGAGACTTTAGTTTCCTATACTACAACAATAATAAACCAATAAAATTTTATAAGTAATGTTTGTAAAAAATGATATGTACACAATTTTAATTTATTTTATAAAGATTAAAATATTATTTTTAATAAACCCTTGATTTACATAAACATATTAAACAGAAAATACATTAACAAAAAATATAATATGGACTCATTATATCACCTTAGTAGTTGGTTCAAATACCTAAAGAGAATCTTTATAAACTAATATATCAACTTGACAATTTTTCCACTTAAACCAATAATTGCCAATTTCAATAACTCATTTAATAATTACTTATTACAAGTTGAGGCTTTAGCTATCTTAACAAATTGCTATAAATTTCTTCATTTTACATACCAAAAATACAAAAGAAATTCAAATATCCAAAGATGAGTTCCTCTATTAAGAGATCAATAGTCCCAAATCTTCCTCAAGATATTATGTCAAATATACTTTCAAGATTACATGTTAAATCTCTTACAATTCAAATGTGTGTCCAAATCTTGGCTATCTCTAATTTCATATGAAGAATTTATCAATCTTCATCTTTCTCTAGCTATTTCTGACCTAAACACAAACCATTTTAGGATTTTAACTATGTCACCTTTTAAGTCCTTGGACTATGAATCTCCATCATCACTTGAAGATCATGTCGATGACGATAGCGCCATTGTAGATTTGTTGTATCCATCCATGGATCATCAAGAACTTGAATCAAATAATGTTGAAATTATTGGATCTTGTAATGGATTGATTTGTTTATTATTATATAACACTAATAAAATTTCTCTATGGAACCCCTCAACTAGAGTCTCTAGGGACTTACCAAGTTTGACTTGTAATTTTCATGATGATTGTCCTATTTTCAATGGTTTTGGTTATGATTGGATTAATAACACATACAAAGTTGTTAGAGGTACATCAAATGGAATAGTTGATGTTTTTTCTACAAGTGGTGAAAGATGGAGAAGGATTAATCAAGGGTTTAAGGATACATCTATTATTTTTGATGATCAAGAACAAGGGGTTTTCTTTAATGGAACTCTACATTGGCTAGGGTATTATAATGATATTAATGAGATAAAGAAGGAGAAAACAATTGTCACATTTGATTTAGGACAAGAGATATTTGGAGTAATGAAACAACCTATGTTGGAACATGATGAAAATGTTAATTTTCATAATGTTGGTGTTTTAAAAGGATGTTTATCTTTGATTAACAAAGGTAATGGACTTTATTGTGAAATTTGGGTGATGAAGGAGTATGGTGTCATTTCATCATGGATGAAATTATTAGTATTGGACACTAATGATTTTGAACATATTGGATATGTTGATCCAATTTGTTTCACAAAAAATGGAGAGCTCATTGTTGATAATGAAGGATATCAATTGGTGAGATACAATATTGAAAAGAAAACATGTCAAACTCTCAAGAATCATAATGATGATTGGTTTCAACAAATTGTTTATGTGCAAAGTCTTGTTTCACCATATGGTAATGTTATTTTTTAGCAATACAATAACATTAAATAATGTTTTTATTTAGCAATGTATCTAAATAATGAAATTTATTTTTCATCTTATTTAGCAATATAATAGTAATAACAAATAACATCATATTGAGCATAATCCACAAGTACTAAAGTTTGAAAATAATAATAGTGTACGCAATTTTATCTTCATCTTGTGAATTCCAATTGACTCGATGCTGACGTACTGAAGCATATAAAAAATAATAGAGAAAAAAATAAGACCACAAAATCGTAATACGATAAACACAAGGCAAAACAAAAAAACAAGTAATAGAAAAATCGAAGAAAATTACTAATAATATCACTAATAAGGGAAACTATATAAACGCTCAACTATTTAGCAATATATTATGTGCTAAAGGTAATTACAGATTTCACATATTTTAAAGGTAAAATTACAAGTTATTCCTCAAAAGTTTATAATTACGAAAAATTCCTCAGAACGGATACAAAAATATAAGTGTTGATACATTTATCTAATGCGCGAGATACATTAATTTGATATGTTAGATACACTAATTTGATGCGCGAGATACATTTTATACATGATACACTAATCTAATGTGCAAGTTACATTAATTTGATGGGCGAGATACACAAATTTGATGAGCGAGATACATTAATTTGATGCCCGAGATACACTAATCTGATGCGCGAGATACACAAATCTAACGCGTGAGGTACATTTTATACATGATACACTAATCTGGTGCGCGAAATACATTAATGTGATGCGCGGATGAAAATTTGTAAAACTTATATGGGATAAGTAATAAGTAAACTAAAAAGTGGGATTTTCGTAATTATCAACGAAAAGAAATTGTTAGCTACGAGCTATATATATTAATTAGATCAATAATAAGGATAATTAATTAATATTTATTTATAATTTCTTTTTCTTGTTTTCCCCCAAATTAATCAAAAATTACATATTCATTTCCACTTTCTTCTTCTTCAACCATTCAACAATATGCTATCTCTCCTTTCATTTCCATGCATGCAAAAATATTTCTCTCTAGAAAAATAAAATTCTATTTTCCTCTCCCATTATAAACGGATTAATTCATCGAAAATTAAATAAAAAAGATCGATCAATCATCGATCAATGGGACAACAAACGTTGATTTATAGCTTCGTTGCCAGAGGAACAATAATTCTGGTTGAGTATAGTGAATTCACAGGAAATTTTAGCAGCATCGCTACTCAATGTTTGCAGAAGCTACCTCCATCTAGTAACAAATTTTCGTATAATTGTGATGATCATACGTTCAATTTTCTCTCCGATAATGGATTCAGTCAGTTTCATCTTTTTTTCCTATACTCATCATATTTTTTTTATTTTTTTTCGTATTTTGATTAATTGGATCTATTTGATAAATTTGATTTTTTAGAGTTTGTTGATGAATTATATGTGGATCGTGTGATTTTCTTAGAGGTTGTTATTGAACCTGAGGCCTCATGGAATTAAGAGTTGAATAGGCATTGTTTTTGTTGATAGATGATAATTGGAGATATTCATAATAATACAAGAAATGTATGACATTTTTAAATAATCTTCGAAAATGTGATCTAGTGATCAATAACGTAAGATGAGAATTATGAGGCTTTTTCACGTTCAAAGTTTTGGAAAAAATAAAAATATTAGGTAATTTTTCTTATCTATCTTATATTTGGTGAACAGACTTTTTTGATATGAGCCAAAACATGGAAATAATAAGGATAGAGGTTAAATTTATGCCTAAGCTATTTGAAATGATTTTAGTTTGAAAATTGAGGTCATCCATGCCATCGTCGTTCCAATTTTGATTTGAAATTATAAAATTTATTCCTGACGTTTAAATTCTAAATCTGTCACTAACATGTTACTTCGATAACGCAGCCTATTGTGTTGTGGCTACTGAATCTGCAGGCAGGGAAATTCCCCTTGCCTTCTTGGATAGAGTGAAGAATGATTTTAGCAAGAAATATGCTGGAGGCAAAGCTGCAACTGCTAGTGCTAAAAGCCTCAATAGGGAATTTGGGTACCTTTTTATTTCGTTTTTTTTTGTTGCTCTGTTCGTTTTAATTTGTTTGTTTTATTTTCCGTAATGTGGTGTTACTTATTGAAGGTCAAAATTAAAAGAGCATATGAAATATTGTTGTGATCATCCTGAAGAAATCAGTAAGCTTTCTAAGGTCAAGGCTCAAGTTTCTGAAGTTAAGGGAGTTATGATGGAAAACATTGAGAAGGTGAATTTCCGGTGAATGTATTGATGGTCTGTTTATATGAATTTAGATAATTATTTCCCGAAGATCTAGTTCCGTATCTTTACATTGTATTAGAGTTCGATTCATCCCTTTTTGTGATCTCGGTTCACGCTTCAGATGGGTCTGAACATGAAGCGGGTGTTAGCGTCCCACGTTAGTTGAGGAATAGATTGATGGTTTTTATAGATAAAATATGCTTAATATTTCCACATCTGGCAGTGACGGACACCCTTCTACAAGACTAGAAGAGGGCGTCATGATGTCACCTGACACTACTTCGTTGAGAAAATTCAATAAGTTATAATAGGATGACACTGCTTGCACAAAATCCTAAATATGAATTTTGACATCTAGAGCATGCTTATGTAAAATTTGTTTCAATTTTTTTTTTTTGGTTTTAACACCAGGTTCTTGATCGCGGTGAGAAGATTGAGCTTCTAGTTGATAAAACAGATAATCTTCGATCACAGGTTAGCCCATAATGCAGCATGAACATATTTTCAAGCAACTTTATCTACATGATTAGTGTTTCCACTTAGACTTTCATGGATTGTTCGATAGTTTGTGATCACAGAGTTGTTGTGGAGTGATAAGTGCTCCTTTATCATTACACAGAAGTCTCAAGATCTTTATCCCAATACGAGACATCCATCGCGTGTACAAATTAGTGAGGGCTCTAATACGAGTATCGGACAGTTTAAGAAAAAAGTTTGTAATATACTCTTTTGTGATTTTCAGGCTCAGGACTTCAGACAACAGGGTACAAAGATAAGGAGGAAGATGTGGTATGAAAATATGAAGATAAAACTGGTTGTCTTTGCCATCATCTTGGTCCTGATTCTCATTATCATTTTATCTGTCTGCCCTGGCTTCAAATGCACTTCGTGATTCGATCTTTAAGGTTCTTAGCACTGAACTCGTTTTACTTGTCAAATTGTAAGTTCAGGATTCAACATTTGTTGAAATCTTGGCGGTTTTTCAGACATATGTCTATGTTCCGTGTCAAAAATACTGCATTCAGTTGAACCAAATGGTCATAGGTTCCATCCGTCTATACGGACCCGTTGTTGATGTTAAACTTACCCAACAGTCAGAATGTTTTCCTTACAACAGGAGTTTAGCTCATGAAGAACTTGTATTTTGATGTAATGCATGGGTAATTTAGAGTTGGTTGCTTCAAAATGCTAAGAAAAAACAAATCTATAAAACAACTTTAGTGCTAATAGCAGTGGCGGAGCCAGGAATTCTAATGAGGTAATATTATATACAGAGATAATGGTCAAAAACATACCTGAAGAATCAGTTTTTTGCGAGTTATGTTTATTCAGGTGTTCACGTTTTCTACCTGAACTATCACCAGAACAGAAAAGTGAAAATAGTTGAAAGAAACAGAGTGAAAACAGGAATAGATGCTATAGAACAGGTGCTATATTTCACAAGCAAAATGAGTTTTTTACATGCAGTAACACACGCTGATAACATATTAATATAGTAAATTAACTATACCGATAACTCGAGTTCGACCATGAGGTGAGAAGGGCCATATTTAGAAGGATATGAGTCGATCCGGGAGAGAGGGAGTATTGGGAAGGCATGGTTCAAAGGATTCTTCTTTTGTTTATTCTGGTCGAAACTCTATTCCTTGAACGATAAGGCCACCTTTCGCAGAGAGACGCCTAACTTCCATTAATCTCGCTTCAACATCTCCATCCTCTCCCGCGTCATTGAAAAATTTTCCCATTTCTATTTCCAGCCATCCATTGTCTCTTCTCTTGGATCGATTCTCACCATGTTCTTCTTGTGTTGAAAGACTAACAACACTAGCTCGTTCCTCAGCTTCATTGTCACTCTCACGATCAACAAATCTAACGAATGTATTAGCAGTTTCAAGGCCATAGTATCCGCTTTTCAGTTTGAACACTAGATAAGCAACATAGTTGGTTCTTTTTGACAGTAGTCGAGTTTCAATCTTCCCTCGCATATCAAGCCAACAAACAAACCGAAGATTAGCCACTTCCGAAAATCTGCATAAAATAATCATGATCAATGTTTATGTTTTAATTAACTAATCTCTTTCTAAATTATACAGCAAAAAGGAACCAAGAAAAAATAGAACCTGGAGTCGGGGTGAGATGACCATGACCAATAATGTGGTGTATCGCTCCACGAAATAGCAAGTTCCCTCGCTGATACCATAAAACATTTCTTCCCGGTCTTCTTGTCCAATGAAAAACTCTGTTTAACAGATCACCATAGATACACAACACGTCGATGAGGAATAAAACCAACGAAAAACGAAAAAAAGGCCCCGATTAACTATATCTAGCTACATAAAAGTAAGTTCGGGACCCAGACAACCCAACAACCCTTATAGATAGTCGGGTCGGTCACAGGCTTATTCTTAACCAGGTCGGGATGGGACGGTCACAGGCCAATCCTGCCCGCTTAACATGTCTAGATACAAACCACATATACATTTCCACCCCTAGACCATACACATCCATAGCCAAAGGCCCCTTTTCATTGACAATTAGCTAATATTCATTGTACATCTAAAATAAAAACTTAAAAACGAATCAAATCCATATAATTTTGATCTCTCGGTTTGTTTATTGAATGAAGATCGTAGTCCTTGTCTAATCAAACACAACTAACCAAAACCAACAACAACCCCAATGTCACACAGACAGGGTTACGTTTGCGGACGGTGGTGTATACACAAACCTTACCCCTACCTTCAACAGTTAGAGAGAGAGTTATTTTTGATAGACTGCTACCTTCAACAGTTAGAGAGAGTTATTTTCGATAGACTCCGACTCAACTAACCTTTTACTCAACAAAACACTAATATACTTCCTCTATCTCAATTAATATGTGGGAACAAATTAGAATCTCGAGATTCGAACTTCTAATTTTGACCCAAAATACACACATACAAGTTTTTAAAAATGAAATCTCTATATTTAAAAACTACCTAACAAA